TGATAGATTCAGGGCCCACAATTTAAACAATTTTAAGTATTTATTTGTTTATTTTTACATAATTTGGGCTTCCAGCTCATGAAACCCACGAAAACAGGATTTCAAAAAATTAGGATACTGTGGAGAAATCAGCCCAAATTTTGCAGGGCATGAATGTTTTAAACAGTGTGACACACTGATCATCTACTAAACTCAAAGCACCTGCACATGTTTCCCCAGGTGTCATTAAATTGCTTCAGTTTGGTTCACTTGTCTCAGTTCGGTTCAATATGGGGAAGACTGCAGACATAACGGGCCAGAAGACCATCATTGATTCCCTCCATAGGATGGGTAAGCCAAAAAAGTGCATAGCTAAGAAGGCTGGCTGTTCACAGAGTGCTGTGTCCAAGCATATCAATGGAAATTCTAGTGGAAGTGCAAAATGTAGCAGGAGAAGATGCACCAGCAACAGAGATGATCGTGGGCTTCAGTGGATTATCAAACGGAGAAAATTCCAGAATCTGGCAGAGATCCAGAAAGAGTAGAATGAAGCGGGAGTCACAGCTTCAAAAACCATCACATTCAGATGCATCTGGGAGATAGGCTACAACTGTCTGGTTCCTCAGTCCTGTTCTCCAGTGAAAGTAAAGTGTGCCTTTCATTCGGAAATCAAGGTCCAAGGGTTTGGAGGAAGAAGGTTGAGGAACAGAGCCCATACTGCTTGAGGTCCAGTGTGAAATATCCACACAGTCATGATTTGGGGGCAACGTCCGGTGCAGGTGTTGGTAAACTCTGCTTTCTTAAATCCAAGGTCACCACAACAGTCTACCAGAATGTTATAGAGGACTTCATGATTCCTTCTGCTGAGGATCTGTATGGAAATGCAGAATTCATCTTCCAGCAGGACCTGGCCCCCTGCCCATGCTGCCAGAAGCACCAAAACCTGGTTTGATGTCCATGCCACAGTGCTTGACTGGCCAGTCAACTCGCTGGACCTAAACCCCGTTGAGAATCTATGGGGTATTCTCAAGAGAAAAATGAGGAGCACCAGACCCAACAACAAAGAAGAGCTGACAGCAAGCATCAAGAAAATCTGGGCTTCCATAACTCCCAGTCAATGCCACAGGCTGATTGCCTCAATGCCACGTCACATTGAGGCAGTGATTAAGGCAAAGGGAATTGAAGATTGACATATCGTTTTGAAAGTACCATATTTTGATTGATTTGTTGTGATGCTAATTTCTATCTTTTTTTTTCTGCAAAAGCAGTAGTGTGGGCTGATGTCTTCACAGTATTCTAATTTTTTTGAAATCCTGTTTTCGTTGGTTTCATGAGCTGGAAGCCCAAATTATGTAGTAATAATAAACAAATAAATATGTGAAATCGTTGAACTTGTGGGCCCTGACTCTATCATCTATTAAATATCAACTTTTTGAATGGAATTATGGAAGTTAAA